ATATTACAAAATAATAACACCTAAAATATAAAATAATAGTACAAATTGGTCATTAATGATTTAGTGGCAATTATAGCTTTGGTTAATTAAGTTGGTTAATTTATTAAAATGATTAATATTAAGCATTCAGAATACACACAGCAGAGAATATAAAATTATATATTTTTATAGTTTCAGATTAAAACATAGCGCTTATTCACATGGCTATCATTTTTCAGTTGTAAATTTACTTATTTAGGTTAAATTCAATAATCTAGACTTGTGACAAGATATGTGTAATAAATGCTCAAGATGTGTAAAAAAATAGAGCTTACTGAAATCATTTACTTCATGCTTGTGTTAAGAAAGAAAATCAAGTAAAAATATAATTTATGTACCTTAAAATCACATTAAACATGTCTCATGCTCAGTTTTCAGTACTTTAATCCTGGTAACACTTGTAATTCTGTCTCTATTGGTTCCTTTTCAATTTCTGTTTCAGTTGTGTTATCTAATGGTTTTAAAATCTTACCTCTCCATAATCATTGAACATGCGTATGACTTGGTCCGTCAGATTAAAAATATTCCGCCAGTCAAACTCCGGCATGTCCTCAGGACGATCTTCCGGTGGTCCATTGTAGAGGAAATTGAGAATATCTTTGGATGAGAGCTCTGTATCCTCAAGATTTCTGTCAATAAAATCTGCCACTGTGGGGTTCTTAATTGTATTCTGAAAGAAGTTACAAAACCCAGTATGTTAAGCAGTGAACTTATATATATAACTTTTATAAATTTAGTGTGAAGTGCTTCTGTTAACATTTAAAAAAAGAGTTCATACATATTTAATAGTGACTCACAAATACATTAAAAAATACAAATTAATATGCATATAAAGTATATAGCCTAGTATACTATACAACGTTATATATAAAACTAAGAAAAATATTTAATATAACATATTTTGTTATGTTTAGCATATAAAGCATGATATAAAAATGAATAAGAATCTATTGAAATCACATTTTCATTTGCCTTAAAAACTTCTTAGAAGAGGAAAAAGACTGTTGTGCTATGATGATATAACTAAAGGAGTATTTTCTTCTAACAACTTAAGTAGCGTAAAACCTCAGTAGCGGGCGTCCTGTTTTGTTTTAAGAAAGCCTTACTCGGATCATGTTCATCTGTACGCTGTTCTGAAAAAAATCCCAAAGCTGAGGGCTCACTTCCTCCCAGGCCTTTCCCATACTTCTCAATCTCTCTAGCTCCTCAAAGGTAGTATTAGCCTGGGACAGAAACACAAACACAACAGCAACACTAAAATATAAATTATAA